TTGCGGCGTATGGAACGAATCCGGAAAACGTTTCGTCGGGAACGAGTACAAAGTAAGTACGTACGAAGTTGCGGAGGGAAAACATTGTGAATTATTAATGACGTCTCGTGCACCGTAGAACTCGCGTGGCGTAAATTCGCCATTTTACTGGTTCCACGACAGGAACTGGTAAAATTAAATAGCCTCTGGCCCGTAAGCTAGGGGCACCATTTGCACCGAACGGTCCGGGCTAACGCAGTTACATACATATGTACGTCGCGTCGTCGTGTCATTGCGTCGTGTCGCATCCAGTCGACGAATGCAGACGCTGCACCAGCAGATATTGCTATCTCGATACGCAATCCCCGATACGCGATACGCGGCACACGAACGCGCGTTAAACGCGACAACTTTCGGATAAGCACGTTTGCAACCGTACGGTGAGTTTGCTTTGGAATCCGAGAACGCCGTGTATCGCGTACCGAGCTTTACGCTAGTAAGCTCATTTTACTTGTCCATGCACGCTTCTTGTACACGGCCAACTATGAATTACACGTTACATACGCGGTACATACAGTAAGGAGCATAAGTGAACCAATGACCACAAGTTTTAATTATTTTTAACACAGTTAGAAGTAACATAAGAAAGTCTTTCAGTAATTAACATCTTGTTGTTTATGAATAATACGAACAATAGATTGACTCAGTTTTGCACCACGTCCAATATTTGATAATACTTAATATATTATTTATTTTTAATATTTCGTCCACAACCCTTTCGCTTGAAAAACTGCACTAATTCTCTTTGGCACACTTTCTATTAACTTTGTACAATAATCTGGAGATATTTGTTCCCACTGTTCTTGAATTCTGTTATGCAAATTCGTGATTGAAGTTGGTTGGGAGTCATATGAATCCCGAAGTCGTCTTTTCAGTAACCCCCATAGATTCTCTATGGGGTTGAGATCGGGGCTCCGTGCAGGCCAAGCCAAAACAGAAAATTCTTTAGTATCGACCCAATTTTTCACACTTTTAGCAGTGTGGTTAGGGTCTCGATCATGCATGAAAATTACATTTTCTTCTTCGAATGGCATATTTTCAACAGCATCTATGAGATGATCTTGTAAAATATCTTTGTACATATACTGATTCATGATGCCATTAATTTGGTGCAGTGATCTAACACCAAATGCTGTTAGGCACCCCCAAAACATTAGGGATCCGCCGCCATGTTTTACCGTTTGCTTTACATGTCGTGGTTTAAGCCTTTCATTTTTACGAATCCAGCACCAAGACACGCCATCTGAACAAATTCTCTTAATTTTGGTCTCGTCTGACCAAATAACCCGTTCCCATTCAGTAGTTGTCCAGTTTTGATACTTTTTTGCAAATTCCAAACGAAGTTTAATATTTTTCTTTGATAACATTGGCTTCTTTTTCTCCTTAATGGCTCTAAAGTCAGCTTGTTTGAGGGTTCTTCGTGCCACTTACTTATTTCTATATTCGTATCTTCTTTTAATAATTGTGTAGCCATGATGGCACTTGAAGCTTCACCAGATGTGACAAACCATATAATTCTTCGTTCATCCTGCGCCGATAACTTTTTTGGTCTTCTTCCAACATTAAGTAATATACCTTTACAGTATTTTTTTTTTATTCTCTGCACTGTCGATTGACTAACACTACAATTTTTCGCCGTCTGACGCGTTGACAAACCGCCATTCAAAAAAGAAATGACTTTTTTTAAACAATTTGGAGCAATTGGCTTCATACTTATTCTTACTTCACTTCCGTGCCTTTCCGTTCGACTGATTGCGGTAAACTGAGTGCTAAGACGTTCAATAACATTTTGTAAACATTCCAAGCTGCTAGCTGTAAACATACTGCTAGAACATTCCACGTAAACATTCCTTTTACTGACCGGTGCAAAACCGAGTCAATCCATTTTCTTTGCCATTGCTAAACCAGGAGACATTAATTATTGAAAAACTTTCTTATGTTACTTCTAAATATGATAAAAATTACTGTAATATTTAGTTCTTAATATTCATCCACATTCTTAACGATAAATAAAAATGTATACAAAACTTGTCGTTATTGGTTCATTTATGCTCCTTATTGTACTTCGTTAGCGATAGATCGTTCGAGTCTCGACTTGGAAGTTTCTAACGCGACGAAGATTTGAAGCTTGAAACTCTGAAAAAAGCTAAAGTAAACGTCGTTTCAAGTTTTAAACGTTGAATAATAAAAAAAGCAGTGTAGTTTTATTTGACGACAACGAGCAATCTTTTTCACCGAATAGATAAAAACTAGTTGCGTACGCGTATACGGGCATAAGCGTTAACAGTGTTTGCTGACCGCAACAACGTTTGCAAAGTAGTCGAGGATCATTGTCTCCAGCCGACGCATTTTTGTCTCTTTGCGCGGAGCCACGCCGTTACTTTCCACTTTCTGATTTCTCCTCGTGCTTTTTACCTCGGTCCACGAGTTTTCAACGTCGCCCGTTGTGTCCCGCGAGCAGAGCTTTTACGAAAATTCTGGGACGCGCGAGTCACTCGTGCGCGGACAAAGTGTTTCGTGCACGGAACCACTCTTTGCCTACTCGAAAAAAGAACTGGTCCTGGATTTTTTAATTGCGTTCAACGGCAGCGATTTTCCCGGGAAAATGCCACTCTTGGAATTACAGGATCGCTTTTGAATTACTAAAGCGCCCGACTAATTTTGAATTCCTTTGTACTTGTACCTGTTGGTAAGTTCCAAAGAAAGTTTTTCAAGCTTTACATTTGGGTCATTCCACGCGAGATCGGACACTTTTTCGAGCAACGTTTCGAAACTTGCTCCAACTTAAATGCTACGAAATTGCTGAAAATCGTTTGCATAAATAGATAACGTCATCTCTGAGTACAAATATAATGACCGTTCGAAAAAATAACAAGCTGGTGCGTTAGCAGCTGGAAAATATTCTACCCTATCGTCGAGTAAAATTTTAGTTACGATATTGTAGACGTGTTCGCCGCTTTCAGGATCCTTCGAGGAAAGTTGTCGGGAAAAGAATTGCAGCTTGTTATCTACGAAATTGCAACAGATAACGAACCAGTCATTTCCGTATTGATTGCTGCAGAGATGATCGTTAGTATTGCGAAGTGGCGAACAGAGGAACGATAAAATTACAAAAAATTTCAATCTTTATCGTTACAGTCGAACTTGAATTATCGTAGGCAAACGGGGCTGAAAGTCCTCGCGTCAGTCAATATACGCAATCCGATGAAGAGTCCCACTTATATAGTACATCTTCATTATCTATGCTCACTAGCGCTAATCACTTCCCCTTTCCAACTTTACTCGTTGCTAAGAGACAATCCCTTCTACTTATCAACGGCACGTAATGAACGAGGCTCTCGTGCAATGATCAAAGTTTGAATAGGTTCTACGGTCCTTAATCATCTTAGAAGCCTACAAATTGGAAATGAAACTTAAAGAGGATATATCGACGTGTAAATAGTATTAGAGCTTTCATTTAAATTTAAGACAAAAGTATACGCGCGACAACGGCTGCCAAAGTATGAAGAGAGTGTAGGATGTACGGTATACACCTTTGTGCGATGATTATATTATACGTATAATACGAAAGTTGCGTTTGTATCACGAAACAATGCATCGTAAACAATTCCACGGAAGTTGACGGAGCAAGAACGGGTTTCATCGACGAGTTTTAATAATTACCGCGCGATGACAACTTCATTAGCTGTATTTCCGTCGAACAGATTGGAAATCAACAGCGAGAGTTCTAATTAACGAATCGATATAGCGTGAATTACTTTTGCTAGAATTAAAGCGATAATAAAGACTTACCGTAATGAGAGCAGCTAGTCAATAGTTGCATCGATAGCTGATCGAACGATAGAGAGATTCTAATTAACGAGAAGCGTGGGGCGGCTGGCGCGTTTCGCCCTCCAAATAAATGCGCGCGGACAATTCCAATAAACAAGCAGGAACCGATGACAAAAAAGTAATTGAACGCCGCGCCTATGTACCGGACGAAAGTATTCGATTTTTCGCGATTCGCGGTGAATTAAACGATTCACTGATCGTTTGACGGTAAAATGATTTTCCGACATTTTCTACGCCCCATCCACGTTCCAAAATATCGAACATTTCTTTTATGAATCGGATAACCTTCGACATTATCGGTTTAAGGTAATTATTTCTGGTGCTCAAACAAATTACACTGTACAGCGCATGTTCGAAACGCGTTTGCAAGCTGACATTTACGACACCAATTTGAACGAAGACTGAAATCTGACATAAATGTCAGCCGCATCGAATGACATTCGTTTTACTCGATACTCCATCGACCGTGGATAAGGTTATCTACGTTGCTATTGTGGTTAATAAAAATTAAGGAAAAGTTCGTTAACCGTAACGTGATTTGAGATGTATCACGGCTTTTTATACGGTTCCAAAAATATCCTTCTAATTCGAAAGGAAGAAAACTGATTCCAGAAACAGTTTGGCAAGCACGTCAACGATGAACTCGTAAGTCATGTACCAGCCAGTCGATGTACCAGCAGTCGCTCTTCAAAATTCTGTCCGACCAAATTTACGAGACATTTCTTTTTACGACTCATTTGTCTTTGCAAGGTATGGCTTCTTGGCGACTTTATGACTTATCGTCTACGTTCGAACCGATACCAATCGTCTGGGTCTACGTATATCTAATGTAGATTCGACGAGGACCCACGGTGACCTTTAGACCTTCAAAATACATATTCCCGCCTACGCGCTCACTGACGCTCGAAAAGATCCTACGAGTTCAGAGTTTACAAAATTTGAAGATTACAACCTTTTACAACCCCTTAAAACTACTATCGATTCGATCGGTTCAAATTCTAAATTTTAAATCCAAAATCTTTATATTTCGTGGAAATTGGCTTCCGTTTAGTAGGAAAGTCAATAAACGGGAAGGAAATGGTTCCTTATCGCGACGTGTCTAGGTACGTATAAATTGTGCATCGGCTTACCGTGCAGTAGTATCGCGAAGAAGAAAATGCAGATCATCTTGGCCAGTGTGTCCCAGCCGCTCCCATTCCCGCCATACCGTGAATCCATTCGCAGTACCTTTACGGTCCATCGTTTCCGGTACATTTCGCGACACCACTTTCGAAGCCGTGCCAGCCCGACCGAAGCGATACGTCTTTTCTGCCGACAATAAACAGAAGTTCGCTTCGCACACTGAATTTACCTCCTGACACTCGTCGCTTTTACACGCCAGCATTTCGCGTGACCATCTTCGAACGGTCAATGGCAATTTTCCACCTTTACATCGACGAACAAGAATTACTCGTGTCAGGCAATGCTAGACAGGCTTGTATATTACGATTCTTGCAACTAGGTATGCGAGGAAAGGAACAGAAGCAAGATATTGACAGAAAACATGCAACAAGTTGCCTTTAGCGCGTACTCGTTGCCGCGTAATCTCGCGAATAGTTTTACGCGTTTATCAATTTATTAAATTTCGAGGTTAATTGAAAATAAACTCGCGCAAATGGAAATTAATAGCGGACATTTATGTGCATAAGATGTATCACGCTGATTGCAGCAATATGTAGAGTAATAATATTTGTAATGCAATTTGTATCCCGGAGTAGCCGACGCGAAAGCAACGCGGCCAGTGATATCGAAATGTTTACAATTGCAATTACCTATTCGCGGATTTATTACTGGTCGGTTATTACGCGGCAATAATCGGCCTGTTGTACTATCGAGCGGCATTTCTGCGAAGCTGGCGTGCGCGCAAATTGAAATCAATCTCGAACATAACACCATCGTCGGCCGGATAATCGCTTAAAAGGCGGCGCTTGAACCGCGTGCGAATCTGTTTAGCTTCGTTTCCGCATCGTTTCGAGGCGCGTTTTCTCTCATAAAAAATTAATCCGTTCCGATAGGAAAATTAACGCACGCGCGACGAGAGCTAGAAGCGCGAAATAGTACCTTTCAAATAATTGATAGGATCGATAAAGCTATTTCATCGCGGCTCATACCTACCACATTTTCACTTACAAACAAATACCTGTGCTATAAGATCAAATAATTGGTTACTTCTTACTACAGGTATCCACTTGTGTAAAGTAATTTGCTCCTTACGAGGGTGCTTTTTTATTACCTGCTGCAAGGAATAATATTTACGATTTAATTATTATGCATTAAGTATATAAGCTACCATTTACAACGAATGTCCATCAGCCTTCGCTGAAATCTAACATGCATTCGCCGATAACGAAACAACCTGCACAATCGAGCCGATTAATTGCGATCGTGCACAATACGATGATCGAAATATTAATTTCACTTGTCGGTACGCTTCCGGCCGTACCTTCAGCGTCCGGAACTTGAACGCTCTATGGATCGTATTTGTTCGCTGGTGTCGAATAAATAGTAGCGAATGAGTGGCGAACTTATCGCGGCCTATTGATTCCTCTCTTTACACGGATATGGATGATTCAACGAGAATTGGTAAATGCATCTTGTACCCCTCCGATCGATCAATATACTCGCGTTATATAATACATACTACGTGCGCGGCAAATCTATCGGAGCAAAGTGCACGAACAATTTTTTATAATGTTTCGAATTTGGGGGTATCTGTAAAAAAAAATTAAAGAAACAATTAAACTAGCAGCGTACACACAAAGGAGCGTTACTTTGAAGCTCGACTCGCATTTGGTCATACGTTATTCAAATGTCTAAAATTGCTCGACGATAAAATCGTTCGTCAAAAATCCTTGAAACCCTCTGAAGCTGTAATCAAACGTCGATTATTCATTAATAAATGACCCTCGTCCTAAGCTGACTTACAGGGTCGCCTGTGCAATTTGTCTCGGAATAAATTTCAGTCGAATTATCATATAAATTACTTATTTTGGACAACCTGAAAATGAAGAATCTGAAACGAAGAACTTATTGCTAAATTTATACAACTCTCGAGTCTAATACTGTAATTCTAATTTAATTTAATTCATTTATACGGGCCGTATCCTTTGGCAAAGAAAGTAATATGGTCGAAAGAAAAACAGAAGAAATGTATGTTAAACATTAATATACGAAACGGATCGTTTCTTCGAAACGATCGATATCGAACGAGATTTGGGTTTCAATTAGCAAGCTAACGATATTCCGCTCGAGCATGGACGAGTAATTCTTGTCGAAAATTTACTGGAATTTATGCAAACGCGAATGCAAATGCAATACATGTGTACGGGAACGGTGTCGCTGGACAACGAACGAACCACGGGAAAGGCCAGCCACCCTGTTTTCTATTTCGCGTGTTTTTATCGCAAAAAATGTACTGTTACCGCGGGACCGTTGTTGTTGACTCACTGTCACCGATAAACCGCGTCTATTGCGTCCGCGTTCGGGCCACGTGTCTCATTCCTCTTCGGTGCATTCCCCTAAATATCTCTCCAACTTTTACGCAATTTGCGGAACTCTGCGCGAAACCGTCCATTCTCGCGTAACTTCACCACGTTCACCGTCTCGGCCCAATCACCTTCCACCTCGAGACACCTCGGTTATCATTATTATATTCGTCTAATTACTCTTTCCTTTCACTTGGTCAATGAAACACTACGCGTACGAGTTACTCGCGCGATGTCCAACATGACTGCCGACAGGACGCCCGCACAGTGATAAAGATCAATGAAAAGGTGATCGCGAATTTCTATCAAGAATCGGATTACAATCTATACAATTTCCTAGTCGAGAATATACGTATACATATACAGGGTGCCCCATGCAACTGGGAAAAGCTATATTTCTAAATGCAAAGAGTTGTCAACGAGAAAGTTACTCTAACACTGATCCTTATTAGGCGGAGACTCGTGTATACAAATATTTTAAAGCGTGATTTTAGGGGCACAGCTTTTTCCAGTTGCGTGGATCAACGGTCGTTGACGAGACAATTGACATTCGACATTTTAATGAATTTGTTCGGATGCGCGTTATGCGCGAATGGTCCAGATCTATTCAACTGGCAAACTCACAAAAGTACGAGCGAAGACGCGAGCGGATCGAGAAGAGGAACGAAAAGTTTGGCCTGGGCGCAACTTTTATCAATAACTTCATAGTTAGGTAACACGAGGTTCGATCGCGTAGAGATTGCAAAGCCGAGACTTGGGCGGTACGGTCGTCCTAAATCACTGGATGGAAACGTTGGGATCAAGTTGTTCGCGGACACCTCTTGGGCGATTCGTCGTGGACGTCGTGGGAGCACAGATCGGATCGAATTTCCACGTGACAGGTAGGCGCATCCAGCGCGCCGATGTACCGACGGATGCATCCGACTCGCGGCGACTCGCGCAGCCCGCGATCACCCTGGCCGTTTCCGTTTTCCTTAACTGCCACTCGTTCGTCATTCGGCACGCACACTCGGTCGCGTGGACACGACTCGTCGCGTGCACCCACGCATGGCCGGTTATCGCGAGCAGCGCCGAACGGGAAACTGAAACGTGACGAACCCGACGAACGGAGAGCGAGAGCGCGACGGATCGAACGAGAACGGAGAACGCGGAAAGGATGAAAAAGATCGCGGAGGGTCGGTAAGATGGATAGGTGGATAAGTAGACGGCCGGAAGGAGACGCGAGCCGAACAAGAGGGAAGAGGAGGCGAGCAGCGATCGAGAGAGACGGGCGCTGCGCGAACAGACCGTCGAGGGAAATGCTGCTGTGCTGGAGACCGCGATCCAACTGCGCCCGCGCTTAGCCAGATATCAGCCCCCGACGACCCTCGACTCTTGCTACCTCTGTCCTCCGCCCTCCGCGACGCGATTTACTCTGCTCCGTGCCGCCCCCGCCGCCGCTTCCCGCTCGACGCCCAACGCTCGACGCCCCACGTCCGCCCGCACCCTTCCCAGCAACTCTGCCAGCAATGCCAACGGTGCCGCTAACGGCAGTCGATAGCGGTTGTATTATTATTGCGGTGATCGACGCCTCCGTTGCCTGTTAAATTCGATAGCGCGATTGCCTGTTACGATTACGCGTTCCCGTCGCAGGACCCGATACTCGCCGATACTATTCCCCAAGATCCCCTCTGCGAGCTACCGTCTTATTCCTCGCGCCGATGCACAGCCGTTCGAAAACCCCCAAAACCTGGTGAAAATTCAACGTCTTCTCGGATCTTTCGAAAACTTCTTACAGCTTATTGACATTCTATACGAAATGGGAAATTTCAAATTCAAAATCAATCAATACGAGTTTCCTGAATTACTTGAAGATCCAATTGACCAAGATTCTCCGGATAAATCTTGGATTAACGTCTCGAATTAGACGCGCACGACAACTATTTGGCAGTGTGCGGCAAAGATCGAGTGGCTGTTCGAGTTTCCGGATCAGTTAAGTACCAAGTCTATATCCCAATGGGTTTCAGTTCGGGATGCACGAGGAGTTACGGGCATAAGGAAATACGTGGTACGAGTGTTCGACGTGTGTATGCACGATGGATTAAGAGTGCTGCGAGATCGATGTGCAACTTGGGCGATAACTCTATTAAAATCGATTGTTAACTCGCAAGAGAATAGGTAAAATAGTTTGTCGAAGAATAAAGAGTCGAAAGAAATTGAACTTTTTTAAACATTGAAATACGATAATGAGCACAGGAGATAATATTTTAACGAACAATTAAGTGTTGAGAACTCGTATTAAAACCTTTCAACGAATAATCCATGTCCGAAGCGTACGAAGAGCGAAACTGCAACCGAAGAGTGAGTCTCGCGGTACATTGTCAATGAAAACAATCGTAACGTAGACAGACATTTCGAGAGAACGGTTCAGAACGGTCAAGTTTCTCGGACCGAACGTATAAGAAAATTTTCATATTTTTATAATACGCCGGTTCGCGTTTCGATAGCGATATTGAAATTGTAGGTAGCGCGAGGCAAAGTCGGCCACGTTTTATCGCTTTCGATACGTAGCCTAGTGTTCTCTGGAATAACCTTCTCGCTTTGCAGGCAGTTATCGACTGGGAATCGTACGGCCTCAGTGTCATTGCCGCAATCCTGGCCACTTTGAGGAAGATCATAGCCAGTAGTCGATGTCACGCGCTATTACTGGTTCGATCTACCTTGTGTCTCCTATTGTTATTGTTCACCGCA